GAAGGTATGTTGAAACGATTCATTTTTACAAAAAGAAAAAAAAAAAAAAAAAGTGTGCACGCGATCCGAGGAAAAATCTTTCCACGTGTGATACATCCTTCACGGTTTGTCTTTACACGTTGACACGTCATCGTGTAGCCAGCGCGCATCGCAAACAATCACCAACCAAATGAAAATATTAGCTCAGCGTCCCGATAAATCGATACGCAATGCGAAAATACGACAATGCGGCAGTGCACTACTCGTCGCAAAGATACAAAAGGAAAAGTAACAAAAACAGAGGAAGGAAAGAGAGGGAAAGGAAAGATGGGAGAAGATAAAAACGGCGGGCACAATGGGCGGTTCGCAAAACCAAATACAACACTAAAGATCAAACCTTCCGGATCGCCATGTTATATGAACAAAGAGAGAGAGAAAAAAAAAAAGAAAAAAAAAAAGAATAGAAAAAAATAAAAAAGTTACGACATTCGAAAAAGTCCTGTTGTTGTTGTTCCTACCTATAGTACACGAAAATCGTGGAAACAAAAGCACGGTGTAAATACAATTGATCCATCGACGTTGAAACAACAATCGCGAACGAAGTTCGCCCAGGGTGGAACGCTCGACGAATCGGAAGTTACAAATTATTCTCGTACGAGAATCATCGTCGCGATTCTCTCTCTCTTGCGCGCGCGCGCGCGCGACGGAGTCAACATTATCAGCGAGACTCTACAAATTATTACATGGTTACACAAGTGTGAATAACGTTGTAGACGAGCGCGCGATAATTCTTCAAATTAAGATCGTGAAGATAATGTTTCAGGTGCAACAACAGGCCGACTCGCTGATATTATTAACTCTTCGTGGACAATGCAGTCGAGTCGGTTGCGAGAACTGAAGAATCAGACGATGAAAGAAGAATCGGAGTTCTTCGGTGAAGAAGCTCGTCTTCGGACGGGCTAATTGCTAAGTCGTTTCGCCAGACGAGCTAACATTCGTCAATCGAGATACGCATTTCGATGGTTTTGACGTTTGTTGTAGATATATATTATATTTATAGAATGGTTAGTGATGTTTCATCGGTTTCCCCCGGGGATGACGATTGCCTGGGTGGCGATCGTCGTCAGGCAGACGGTCAAAATAAGAAGAAACAAAGACGTAACACAACGATTATGCATGTACACGTGGGCAGAAAGAAGCGTCATGCGGTGCAGCCAAGCGTGCGTTGCTGTTTACCTGCGAACGGCACATCCCCGAAGTATTCCTCGACGTTGTCCGTCGACATGCTCTTGTCCGACAGAGACACGCTCGATAACGATCCGCTGCTGGCGTCCAGGGAGCCGCCGGCCGGAAACTGCAATAAATCCTCGTCGGTTTCCGTTTCCATGTCGCGGGACCGCCGTTTGTACACCTGCCAACAAGTAACACCCAGGTATATGCATTTTTCATCGCCTGTTTTCCCTTCATTTTCTCCGCGCGGCGCTGATCCATCGCGAAAAATCGGCTCGCCTTTCTGACGAGTCTGAGACGAATTTTTTGGTTTAACAAAGTGGATAATAAATACTGACTGGATCATATACAGTGGATCAAGTTTGAAGAGCTTTATTATTTTCGTGTCATTCTTCCTTCCTCGTCTTTCTTCATTTTTCTGAAGATTTAAAGTCAAAGTTAGTCTTCGAGAAATGTAAATCAACGGTTACGTTTCAATAGAATTCCTATCGGAAACCAAGCGATTCAATTTGTTTTAAACATCTGCATCGGAACGTCCTGAGTCTGACTTGCCGACAAATTGATCATTTATTTGTCGATGAGAATTTCTGTTCAATGCCAGGCAATTCAATTTGTTTTTAAACATCTGCATCGGAACGTCCCGAGTGTCAGCCTTCCGTTTTGTCAGTCTCTTCCGAAAGTTCAAAAAGTCCGACCTGAGTTAATTCTCGGTAAAATTAATAATTACTTCTCGATAGAATTTCTATGGAAGTTTAACTAATCAAAGGCGATTCAATTTATTGTAAATATCCGCATCGGAACGTCGAACGAATTCAATTACACCTTATAATTGAGATTCAATGAAACACGCGCCGAAAGTTAAACCGCCTACTAGCAACGAAACGCGGTTTTACAGATTTTATTTTCCCCAATTTTTTTTTCTTTTTTCTTTTTTTTTTTT